TTTATGCTAGTCCTCGGCGTCAAGAGCGTCATGCTCTATGGGATGCTTTGGAGAATATTCAGCCGCAAAATAATAATGAATGGTGCATTATGGGTGATGTTAATACTTACATTCACTCGGAGGAGAAGAGGGGGAGTTCAGTTCACAATTGGAGGAGCATGCAGGATTTTCAAGATTGTCTTATGTCTTGTCATCTTAGTGATCTGGGGCACCAAGGTCCGAGTTTTACTTGGAGAAGAGGTAATCTTTTGGAGAGACTTGATCGTGCTTGTGTAAATCAAAGCTGGAACATGTCATTTCCGAACAGAGTTATCTCTCACCTTCCTTTTTATAACTCTGATCATCGTCCAATCCTTCTTTGGGATGGACAACCAAATTTTAGTAATGGAGGGGCTCGTCCTTTTCGTTTTCTAGCGGCTTGGTTGACTCATAATTCTTTCTCTGATCTAGTGAAGAGGTGCTGGGCAGGTGGTCACAATTGGAAAGCATCTAGTGAAAACTTTCGAGAGAAAGCCACATCCTGGCATAAGGATTGTTACAAGGAGGAGGAGAAGTTAAAAAATAATCTTCATTCTCGCCTCCGTGGAATTGATTATAGCTTAAGTCAACATCCTTGTCATTCTCTGGAGAGGCTGCAGAAAGAGATCTGGCAACAGTTAAATACTATTTATCTTAGAGAAGAGATTACATGGTACCAAAGATCTAGAACTGACTGGATTCGGTTTGGTGACCGTAATACTAAATTCTTTCATTCAGCAACAGTTGCCAGGCGTAGGAGGAATAGGATTGATGCCCTTCAAAATGATGTCGGGGACTGGATTGCTGACCCTTCTCTTCTCATGAGTATGGAAGTGGAATACTATGATAATTTATATAAGGAAGATATTCCTCTCCGGCCTAATTTTCCCATTAGGAACAAATTCCCAGAAATGGAAAGGAGAGTTATGATGGCTCTTGAGAGCTTCCCTAGTAGTCAAGAGATTAAAGGAGTAGTGTTCTCAATGGGGCCTTTTAAAGCGCCTGGTGTTGATGGTCTTCATAGCATATTTTTTCAAAGCCAATGGGATGTAGTGGAGAGCTCTGTTTGTAATTTCATTAAGGGAGTCTTCAATGATCCTAGTCGTATAGAAGAAGTGAATCAGAATCTTCTTTGCTTGATTCCTAAACTTGAGAATCCTCATACTTTCAAGGATTTTCGTCCGATTAGCTTGTGTAATGTTATTTATAAAACGGTAACAAAAATTGTTGCTAACCGTTTAAAATTGCAGATGGACAAGCTGGTGATGCCTAATCAGTGCAGTTTTATCAGAGGTAGACAAGGTACGGATAATGTCATAATTGCTCAAGAGCTAATCCATTCAATGAGGAAAAAGAGAGGATCTAAAGGTTGGATGGCGATCAAGGTTGATCTTGAGAAAGCATACGATAGGATCAGTTGGAATTTCCTTCAGGATACCCTATATGATGTAGGGCTTCCTGAAAATTTGATAAGACTAATTATGTTGTGTGTTTCATCTTGCACTATGAATGTTCTTTGGAATGGGGCTTGTACTAAAGAATTTCGGCCAACTAGAGGCTTAAGACAAGGAGATCCTCTTTCTCCTTATCTTTTTGTCCTCTGCATGGAAAGACTAGCCCATCTCATTTCTCAGGCAGTGGATCACAGGAGGTGGAAGCCAGTGAGGATTAAAAGGGGAGCTCCACAAATTTCCCACTTATTTTTTGCTGACGATCTCCTTTTGTTTGCAGAAGCTTCTCAGGAGCAAGTGTTAATAATTCAACAGGCCTTACATATATTTTGTGATTCATCTGGTCAAAAAGTCAATCATAGTAAGACTAGAGTTTTCTTTTCTCAGAATGTGGGTCATACTCAAGCAAACTATCTTAGTGGGCTTCTTGGTTTTTCTTTGACTGCGGATCTTGGAAGATACTTGGGAATTCCTTTGCATCATAAGCGAGTGGGTCGATCATCTTTCTCTTATGTTTTGGATCGAATGAATTCTAGAATTGCTGCTTGGAATCATGCCAGTCTATCTCTAGCAGGTCGCGTTACATTATCTAAAGCAGTGTTATTAGCAATCCCATCATATCCAATGCAGGTGTGTTCATTACCGCAAGTCACCTGTGAAGAGATTGATAGGAAGATTCGAAATTTTGTTTGGGGTTCATCTCCACACTCTAGACGTTCTCATCTTGTGGCCTGGAAGCAGATTTGCATGGATAAAAAAAATGGAGGCCTTGGACTGCGGAGTATGAGGGAAATGAACTCAGCATTTATCATGAAGGTTGGGTTCAACCTCGTAGCTCATCCAGATGCCTTGTGGTCAAAGTTCTTACGTGCTAAGTACAATGTGGAGGCAGGCATGACACCAATTATTCATGCTCCAAACAACAGCTCCCAGCTTTGGAAGGGAATTACGCGTCATTGGAATATTATAATGGATCATAGTCGGGTGCAGTTAGGCAATGGTCAGTCCACTATGTTCTGGCTTGATAGCTGGCTGCCCGATTGTGGTCCTTTGATCTCATATGCAGGTTCTCAGTTTTCTATTAGTGATACTCTTCAGAAGGTGGTGGACTACGTGGATGAATTGGGGCAATGGAAATGGAATTCTCTTCGACAATTGCTTCCAGATTCTGTGCTGCATCGATTTATGAATTTTCTTCCTCCTTCTAGTCAAGATGGCCAGGATCATTTAATTTGGAATGGAACGACAGATGGCAAGTTTACTGTTAAGTCAGCATATGCAATATTAGCCATCAAAGATACTACAATCCAACAGTTTCCTTGGGAAAGTGTTTGGAGATGGCAGGGGCCAGAAAGAATTCGCTTTTTTCTTTGGTTAATGGCAGGGGAGAAGCTGATGACTAATGTTTGTAGACTCCGCCGCCATATGGCTCTTTCAGATCTGTGTCGTAGATGTAATCAGTCTAGTGAAACTATCCTTCATACTATTCGCGACTGTCCACAATCAAAGGAAGTATGGTGCATGATAATGCCTCATATAAATCAGCGTGAATTTTTCAACCTCAACCTGCACAATTGGATCATTTCTAATTTAGACAGCTCAAAGGATTGGGGGATGGGGTCGGACTGGCCTCTTTTATTTGGAATCTTAGCCTGGAAAATTTGGAAATGTAGGAATTCTTGGGTTTTTGAAGGTGATCGCCAGAATGCTTATTCACTTATCCGTTCAGCAATTGGTTTCAGAGATAGTGTCGCTCTTGCAGCTAACCCTGTTTTTGGAGCGGGCAATCAACCAAGGAATCGAATAGAGAGATTGGTTGCTTGGTGTTGTCCTCCTGTGGATTGGGTTAAGCTTAATGTTGATGGTGCATGTGATGCTAATGGTACTAGGACTGGGTGTGGAGGAGTTTTTCGCGATGCCTCAGGAACTTGGATCGTCGGATTCTGTAAAAATTTAGGCTCAGGTACAGTTTTGCATGCTGAGTTATGGGCTTGATTGGTTGGTTTGGAGCTAGCTTGGGATAGAGGTTTTAGGCAAGTTTGGCTCGAAGGAGATTCTCTTTCAGCTCAACAGCTCATTACAAATGGGTGCCACCATGATTACCCTGCGGCTAATTTGGTGAATCGTATTCGAAATTTGATGCAGCGAGATTGGCAGATTTATATGTCTCACATTCACCGTGAAGGAAATAGAGTAGCGGACTTTCTAGCCTCTTACTCTTATGGTTTCTCTTGGGTAATTCAGGAATTTGATTGTCCACCGTCAGGTTGTATTGATAGTCTGTATGGTGACACTATAGGTGTTCACTGGTCTAGGCTTTGTGCCTAGTTTCTTTTTGTTGTGTTTTTGTTTTAATTTCCTATTATTTCCAAAAAAAAAAAAAAAATACTCTCCTCTATTTCATCTCTTTTCTCTAATTCCTCTCTACATTATCTTTCCATTCCGAGAAAAGAATAATCGTTAATTTATTTATAAATAATTGAGATTATGTTATGTTAAATTATAGGAAAAAATGTTTGTCATTTTAAATGACATAAAGTTATGTCATTTTAAGAGAGATAGACACAAGAAAATATTTTTTTATTTAAAATTTAAATAAAAAAAATCACTCACTTTCTCTTCCATGATTTTCATTTTTTGTGTCTATTCCTCTCTTAAAATGACATAACTTATGTCATTTAAAATGACAAACATCAAACCCTAAATTATACATGGAAAAATTCATTCTAATATTTTCTATAAGTAACATGTTTACGTTTATATAACAACTCATTTCAATAATTTTTTAAAACAAATTTTGGAATATCATTTTAAAAAAAAATCCCTTTCGGCGACCTGCGAAAATTATTAGTCTTGTTATAGAGGGTTCAAAATATTTGAAAAATCAAATAATGTATATAAAATAAAAAAATTACAGCTCATCTGATTTTAATTAATAACAATTTTAAACTATTATAGCAATAACATAATATCATTTAAAGACGAAATTGTTTAATAAAATTTCAAAGAACATAATTAAGTTAAATAGGGAAAAGTTGACCAATAATGCCATGTGTTTATTTTTGAATTATTTATGTTTCTGTGATTTTTTTTGTATCATTTATGTCTTGAGATTTGTAAAAAATAAAAAACCACAAGGGTATATATGATAAAAAAAATACCCTTTTACAAACCACAAAAGCATATGTGATAAAAAAAATACAAAATATAAGTGATTCTGAAATAAAACACGGAATCAATAAGTGAACTTTTTCCTTTATTTTAATAATAATCGACGGAGTACGTGAAGAGAAAAAAAAAAAACTTTAGTGCTAGTGTGCTACTCCCTTTTTTCCAAATGTTAGAAAATTTTTGCAAGTGGGTACCCGTAATGTGGTCCCACAATCAGGAGAGATACCAATGCCATGCCATAGTTCTCGAGGACATGCGAGAATTATTAGTCATATTATAGTAGATTCAATATTTGAAAAATTAATAAAAAAGTAAAAGTTACATCTCGTCTCAGATGAAATACGTATAAATTAGAAGCGATTGATTTGAAAGAGTAGAGAGAGAGAGAGAGAGAGAACCCAAAAAACAAAAAAGGAATCGTGTGACCCTATCGCTTCTTCCTGGTTCGCTTTCTTTCTGTCTAAATTCTATTATCTTCTTCTTAGGGTTTTCATTTCATCTATAATTGCGATCCAATCATGCTGATTTCTTCGATCAATTGAGTGTTTCGCTGTTTTTCTATTGTACTTCTTCTTCTGCTTCTCGCTCCTGCATTTTGGAATTCGCTCTGTGTTTTCTGATTAGGTCTGGTGGCATCTCTGACCAGTGAAATTTTAGGGATTTCCTTTTTCGGAATGGACGACGGCGAGCTTGATTTCTCGAACCATGAAGTGTTCTCGAGTCCAAACATGGGGGAACTACCTAGCAGTGGTTCGATGGATAGTTTCTTCGACGAGCTTCTGAAGGACACACATGCATGCACTCACACCCACACTTGTAACCCTCCTGGCCCTGATTTTTCACATACACACACCTGTTATCATGTCCATACCAAGATTGTGCCTGCATCTGGTGATGAAGATCAGGCTGCCACTGATGATCATGATTCCGCTGAGTCTGCAGAAAAGAAGTCAAAAAAGCGTCCCACAGGGAACAAAGAAGCTGTTCGCAAATACAGGGAGAAGAAGAAAGCCCGGGCTGCGTCTCTTGAGGATGAGGTTGTTAAATTGAGGGCTTTGAATCAGCACTTGATGAAGAAGTTGCAAGGTCAGGCTGCTTTAGAGGCTGAGATTGCAAGGCTTAAGTGCTTGCTAGTTGACATTAGGGGAAGGATTGAAGGAGAAATTGGATCGTTCCCATATCAGAAATCACCTAATTCGAACCCACCAATCCCAAACTTGCCTGGTTCTTATGTGATGAACCCTTGCAGCATGCAGTGTGATGATCGTGTATATTGTCTTCATCCGGGAGCAGATGGGAAGATTACAGAAGGTGCACCAATAAATGGGGATGGAATTGGTGGTTGTGAGTTTGAGAGTCTCCAGTGCCTGGCAAGCCAGAATTTGGGGCTCAAGGATCTTCGTGCTTGCGGAGTTGGACATGCAGTGTCTAATGTCAATTCTTCTGCATTAAATAAAAGAAAAGGTGATAACTGCTTACACACTCCCTCTATAATTATTGGGTGAAATATTTGATATATTGCTTAATTCATACTTATGCTTGATTCCATTTCTATTGCTGGCGCATGATATGATCTGCCTAGAAGATTTTGGTCATTGTTTGTATTCCAGTGCTAATTGCTTGTCTCATTATCTAGTTTTAGCTTTGTAAACATGCAGTATAGAAACCATTGAGATTTGAGAGAGAGCATAGGAGATGAAGCATAACTTGCTCTGTAATGTGACCTGCTACTTGTTTTCTGTTTGGATCATAAATAGTAGGGAGTTCAACATTCAGATGGTCACACACTAACAACTGATTTTATTTAATTGCTGAAATTCATTATTGTACTTATATTCTAGTGCTGAAATCTGATTGCTAAATTTTATAGGATGATCGTTAACTTCTAAGAGAACACCAGATTTTAAAAGGGTAGTTATCATATCACTAGTACTAGTATTGCAGAGTTCATGTTCTGTAAGACAACTAAATGCTTTATATATCTCAGTTAACAAATAATGCCATATTATGACAAGTTCTTCTTCTCCAAGATGATTTAAGCAACTGAAAGTTAAAGATTCAAAGCATGGAATGATTGTAGGTGAACATTTTTTCTAACTCTACCAAGAGGGTTGAGACTAGATTTTCTTTTCGAACATTTGATAAAAAAATGTATCCCCATTTCCATAGCAATTGGGATTGAGTCTGGGGTGACAACTTTAGGGCATGGAACTTGCATATTCTTGCTCCTCATCCCTTAAAATGATCTAATGGCTCTTTTTTATTAGGGGGATATCGTGGAGCAACAGCTGGTTGAAGAACTAATAAACGGTGGTTTGCATTGTTGCCATGGTAATACCTCCTTCCAATAACTTGTTACCAGTTGCAGCATCAGCTATCCATCAAGTCATTTTTTAAAATTATTTCCCCCTTTTGACACTGCTGCATTAACGGGGTTCAGATGGCTGTTCTACTATGGAAGATTAGTCCTAGAATCAAGCAGAAACAGTAGTTGATCTGTAGCCAGCATAGCTTATGGCTGAGACAGATTTGTTGCTTTTCTATGCAATCAAGTTTCCGGGTCTTTTGATTATGCATGAACTACTTAAACTGGCATCATAAATGGTTCTCTGCTGATTCAATTTTAAAATTACTAAGTATTTGAGTAGTTATTTGCATTGTTTAAGTGGTGATTCATGTTTCCTAAGTTCGTAAATGTTTTATTGCTGGATTTCAGAACTTTGGGGAAGATGGGGTGGGTTTCATCTTTCAGTACTTTGTGCTGTGGACAGGTGAGACCGCAATGTTATTTCGTGTAATATAAACTCTTGCGTGAGTGAAACAATAAAATTGGCTGGTACGGTTGCTGGCGTTTGTTCTTTTTTCATCTTTATTTATCTGAATATTATGAGAGGTTTACTTCTGTCTTTAGCATTTTGCTGGACAAGGATCGACTAGTTTATATCCGGAAGGAACTGTCGTCCTCTAACTGAAGATTTTGCATATGGGCTATTGTCTTCTACAAGTTAAGACAGACAAGTGACTTATTTTGTATTTGAGATCGTAAGTGGCTTTTTCGATTGCCAATGGAACCTTGCTACCTTTAGAGTGAGATATGAAGATGGGAAGCATATCTGCCTGTATTCTCTTAGAGAACAAGTCTTGAATATATTTCGGTAATTAAAAAGCCTCTTAGTGATCCTATTTTGGGCTTGGAATAATTAATATAAACTTTACATATTGTATCTTTTACTCTCTCTGCCGTTATCCTTGGACAAAATTTGTTTATCACTCATTGAAGGTATATTACAGCACAACGGGAATTCAAGATGAAGTGAACTTTACATCGTTACAAACTTCTTGTTCTTACGTTCTAAAACATCAAGATTGGGATGCCATTTACATTGCGATCTTACAAGAATAACTAATTGCCTCATAGTTAATTGTGAAGTGGCTTAAGCGGAATGTAGCTGTTAAAAGGGGTGTAAGAAGGTTCAAAATGGGTTAGGGTCGGGTGATTGATTCAATTTAAGGAAAGAGGTTAAATCTTATCAACGTCAGGTAGGGTTTCTGGTTACTGTTGTTTCCTGTTGCCGCCTGCTAACTTCCTTGATTTTCGACCATTGTGACTTCCCCTTTTTGGCGTCCTAGGACGATGGCAAGTGGTAAACTCTCACAACTTTCAAGCGATCTACTTAGGGGGCGTTAGATTAGAAGGTCACCGTAGCAGCCGAATTTAGGTGACAGAGAAGAGAAGTTAGAGATCGTGTTACCCCTACATATATTACGCTGTATCCTTTCAACATAATCATAACAGAGAAGCAACAGAAAATACAATGGGGAAAATAAAAGAAATAAGTTATGCAACCACCAGCTGTCTGTGCTTTTGATCTTCGCCATGTATATTGGCTTCCTTTTCGGCCTTTCTCTAATACTTGGGGTCAGGTTCTGCTTCTGAACTTTGGACCGCTCCACTTGGGCTCGCCAGGTTGGGTCTCACCTCATATGGATTTGTTAAGCTGGATCCGTCTCTGGATGCAAAATCCACTCTTCACCTTCCCAACTTTAGTTACTTCTTTATTGAGCAAGGAAAAGCAGTTGGGAGAGGTTGTTCTAATACAAGTAGCCAGTAGCCAGTAGCCACCTCATTTGTGCCACTCGTTATGAATGACAAAAACGTAACAGAGTACTCATAAGTTGTATATTTGAGAATAGAAGGCCTTAAGTGCGACAGCAGAGAGAAGGACTCGCAATTTGGATTTGGAACATACTTTCCAGCCAAATTTCAAGTGCCATGGGAATAGAGAACGGAGGAGGAAGACGACTTGCATAAGATATTAGGAAATAAAGTACATCAAGTAAAATAAAATATTTTGTAAATTGAATTGGGGGTTCAGTCTTCTATATTAGACTAATGAGTGGCGTGATTTGTTCTTCGTTACGTGCTGGTATCTTTGGAGATGAAGGAACAATAGTGTACACGATCCACATTATGTCCTGCCAATTCACCCTGAAGGAACTATCTCAAAGCTTGTATAGGAGATCAGGACAGAGATGGAGTGTCGAAAATGTTAGGCTATTGGGTATTAGTTCTGACTAGACTCTTGTTAAGGTGGATAAATGGTCTCCCCTGAAGCCAATTGGTTTAAGCTGAACTATGATGGCTGAAGTGTGCTAGATTCTAGCATAATCTAATGACACAGATGGATCTCATCCTATCCTATGAAGCATCGACACTTCAAAACCCCTTGACATGTCGTGTTCACACTCCGACACTCCAACACGCGTTATAGAATTCAAAAAAAAGTTCAAAAGTTGCGTTGCATTGAGTTTTTAGTTCCAACTATTATATTCGTTATATTACGATTACCATTTTATTGAATTTAATATATATTTGTGATATCTTATGTTTCTTTATAAAATTAATAAATATTATAAGTTTGGTTTCATTTTTTTGTTAAATTATTGAATATTAATATAATATATACTATATAAATTAAAAATATTATTTAATATCAAAATGTGTCCTAACGTGTCGAAATCTAACATTTTTTAAAATTAGCGTGTCAAAGTGTCGTGTCACGTGTCTAATATCGGTGCTACATAGATCCCATCTCACCTTGCCTTACATATCAAGCATTTGGCTAACTGAAATATCCTTTTAAAACATGCTCCTCCTACACCAAATACCTACGCTAACTGGAAGGCAAAAATGCCTTGCAAGTATTCACGCTCATGCTTACGGGCGTGAGAGATCTAGGCGCCATGGGCGCTACTTTCCTTAGGTCCTCTTGTTTTTGGGCTGCCTAGCCCCCCATCTACCAAAATATAAATAAATTCTATTAAATTTAATTTTTTAAAGATTTAATATATTGTTATATTTGTTCGTCTAAAAAGTACTGAAATAAATCTTTAAAATAAAGTTATTATACCATTATTTAAACATTTTATGACAGAAAAGTTAAGTTTTTTATTTTTCATTTTGAAAATGAATAGAAGGATACTGAAATCAATGAACAAAAAGTTTATTTTATTTCATTCTATCTCATCCATTAAATTAGAGAGAACAAGTTTCATTATATTTCATTCCATCACATCTTATATTAAACAATTCAAATAGTAACAATTAATATGATTTCTTCCTTAATACTTTGGTTCTTCCTTTTTATCAATAAAATACTGTTTTGTTTTCTTTTTTTTTGGAAAAAAAAATTAGGTATAGATAGATATTGGATTATCGTATGATAGAATTTTTGGACGCTTCAAAGATCTAGTCTGGATATAAAAGAGAATTCATGTCCGGCAATGGATACCATCACTGTTCCAACTGTTAAATGGTCGCAATACCTTCGCATAAAACTAAAAAGCAACTGTAGTAAAAGTTAAATGGTTCCGAAACATAGAGAAAAACCAACGAAGCAATGATAGTAAAAGCTTCGCCTTCGAACCTTTGTCTAGTTAGTATTGGTCATTAGCCGTCAACACGTCATCATCATCCCCATCATTGTAAATGCTTTCAGCCATTTGCCAGACATGGAAAGAATTGTCTTCAGCTACACTTGAGATAACCCATGGCTGATTTTTGTTCCATGAAAAATCTGATATTTTCCCTTTGTGCCCCCCATGAGAGAAGAGTAGTTCCGGAGGACCACCCTCGCCATCTCCCTCTATCTGCTCATCCCCAACCCTGAGTCACCATGAAAATAAAGTGTGGAAAATGTTAAGGGACGATTTCAACTGTGTCTTTAGCGTGTGCACCTGAATAATCACAATGGAACTTACAGAAGTAGATCAACTTAACAAATGTCTAACGAGTAAGAAACAAAGCATTTCAGATGAGTCAGTTCGTACCTGTTAAGGTCCCAAACCATCAGCCTTCTGTCAGCAGCAGAAGATGCCAACACGGTCTCATGATTAGGATCCCACTCCACCTGGAATACCTCATCTCTATAGAAATCATCAAATAAACCAAATCGGTGAGTAAAAAAATTGGAATTTCCTGGGCTATGGACTTTATTAGTTATCACACACGAAATAGTATTTAAGGATAAAAAAAGATAATTATTTGACCTATCGACCTTGCCATTGTTACTATAAGATGGTAGTAGTATTAAGAAAAAACACACAACATAATGGATAAAGGACATACGTGTGGCTACTTAAAAAATGCAGCGGCACTGTCAGCTTCCGTGTATCAAAGAGACCAACGGTGGTGTCTGAAGATGCTGTAGCCAGAATCCATTCATTATATGGATTGAAAGAAAGAAAGTTCACCTGATTCAAAAAAAAAAGCAGAGACAACATAACATTGTCAGTAACATTTGATATTCCTGCAAAGAGTGAGACAGAAGTCAGACAACGCAAAAATACAAAGAGACATCAGGAGTATATATCAGTTTAAGTAAGACAACAGTGACAATTAAACTACAAAAAATGAAGGCATAATCAAACATACTTCACAAGAAACAGAGTGTACTCTCATGGTTCAAACAAATTTCAGTTTTTAGCAAAGTCATAGCACCCAAAACCCTGATGAGGTGGTTCTCATAATCTCATGCAGTCAGTATAAACATCTTCCACTGTAAATCCAGAAACCCCCATTTGTAAGTGATATGCTATTTCACTATAATCCCCTCACCCCCAAACTTGTCTCCTTAGCACCCCCCCCAAAAAAATGTATAAACGTCTTCCCTTTTTTTCTTTTTAGGAAGCCTTTACATTTCATAACAAACAAAGATGTTATTATGGAATCTGCACAATCCTAATGTTCAACATACACGGTTGATAAAATCCAGCAACACAACTTCTGCATGCACCCATTATGCTGATCGTTTAATCATTTCAGATTAATACTTATACTGAATTAATTTTACATGCTTGATAAACAAGGACTCTGCAAGGATTATCAAGTTACAGCATTACCTCCCTCTCATGTTGTTTGACTGATTGCTGGGCTTTGTTTGTCCTCAAGTCCCAAATTATCAAGTTGCAATCATCTCCAACGGACCCAAATAAATTTTCATCCTTCATATGCCAGGATACATCTTCAACCACACTTTCATGAGCCTGACATGACAACCAAAAGTCCAATTCGACCATCAAAGTGGTTTAGGCAATCTATCAAATAAAAAATGACCAATATAGCATACAAAGTATCAAGCAACTAGCATTGATTCTCAGCATTACCTCAAAAACGTGAAGCGCGTCGAGCACATTCTCTTGAGATGCAGCCGGTACATCCCACAAGCAAATCTTATGGTCATGTGAACCACTCAGAAGGTACCCATTCTTAAAAGGGCTCCAAGACAAACCATAACCTTCTTTATCATGACCCCTCAACCTCAAATCAGGATCACAACCAAGCCCTCGTTGCTTGTTAAAATCGAACACATAAACCTCACTATTACAAGTCTTAGCGGCAACAATACTGGGGTTTTGCGGCATAGAACGCGCTCGATTCACCTCCCCATCAACGGGAATCCTCTGGGTAATCTCTATCTACAAAATAAACAAGTAATAGTATTGAGGAATTTCATCGAACAGTTGGTACCCATAAACCAATTGAGCAAAAAAGTGAATATTAAGAAACACAAACCTTCGGAAGAACGGGATTTAGAGGATCGACGGCGATGATAGGTTGTGATGTGTTTACGGGGAGGGAGGCATCAGCAAGCATAAGGAAGTTGGGTTCGCCTTCGGCAGTGTGAGTGGCGAGGAGAAGCTTGTGGAGATTGAAGGAAGGGTAAGAGTATGGTTGAGGAAAGGAGGGAAGCCAGTGAACAGTAAGAGAAGGCCATTGAAGAGGGTGAGAAATGAAAAGATCGTACAACAAAGGAGTGTTCTTCTTCCAAACAGAGAACTCTTCTTCAACCTCAATCTCATTCTCTTCTTCTGCCATTTCTGCTACAAACCCTCGCGCCAAAATGTTAACATGTTTTTAAATAGTGGAACACTTGCGCTTAAATGGATTGGGCTGGGCCACAGTTTCTTCTACAAGCCCACTACTTGCTCCATGCATCCTTATCTAGTTGCAGCAACACTGACCATTTTGTCACGGACAAAAAAATTATCTGATTGTTACGCCAACCGTAAATTTTGCCAGAATGTCACGTGACATAATTCGCTACACAGTGTAGCGAATTATGCCGCATGACATTTTGACAAAATTTACTATTGATGTGACAGTCTGGTAATTTTTTTGTCCAAGCGTGACACTTTGTTGACTATCACTATTCTTTTCTTCTTTCTCTCATTCTTGACCAAAAAATAAAAAAAAATAACTTTAATCATACCTTATCCTTTTGCTTACACTGATTGTGACATTCATTCTCCTTCCAAGTTCCAACATCAATCAATTAAAGGGGTTGCGTTGGAAAAATGGTTATCGTGGATTCCAATTCGTGAAAAATTGCTAACTAATAAGGAGGATATGATTCCATCAATCACATTTTTTTTTTAATACCGCAATTATTCGCAATCTTTTTATGGGTAGGACCTTTTTTTTTTTTTTTTTGACGCGTTACCTTACTTCAATCACAATATATGTAGTTTTGAACTCTTGCATTCCAACTATATAGAGTTTAGTTCGAAATTAACTGCCACAGAAGACGTGTTTCAAAATGAGATGCCACCTTAAGAAAGTTATTCCAAACAAAATTTTAGTTGGGGCGAACAACAACAGCATCCACGTAATACTTTTAATGTATTTAAATAAAAAAATTTATATAAATTTTTAAAATAAACTCAACGCGAATCACTATTATATAGAGAGAGAGAATTAATATATGCTTGTAAAACAAAATAAAGGAATGATTAATCTAAAAATAAAAAATTTGTAATTTGTGTTCCTATTAATATCAAATCAAGCTTTTGAGGGGGGAAAAATATGTATTGTATAGAATTTTTCATGAAATAATATATTTTTTAAATGAATAAAGTTATAGATTATAAAAACATGTACATGCTATAAATATGCATAAGTTCGGGTTTGAGTGTAATTTACTTCTTCTTCTTCTTTTTTTTACTTTTCTAGTTCATTTTTCTCGAGGGGAAAAAAAGCAAAAGAAAACCAAACAGACAGCGATTGCCTCACGTATGTTTTTTAAATTCTGGATCGTTCTTAATAATGATTTCAGACTATTGGGTGATGACAGACATGCATATTTTATAGCCTTTTTATGTGAAAAATGTTTGAGATAAATAACTAATGTAAGCAAATATTTACAATGAAATTTAAATGATCTAGAAAATATATAATTGTCATAAATAACATATCTACTAATTGAGCATTTGGCACACAAATAAAAAGAATTATTAATTATATTCCGATTTATTTATTTTTTTACATTTTTAATGGAATTTAGATTTGAGCTTTGCACCTACTTATTATTAACTGTTTGAACTATTTTGCATTTAACTTTTTGTTTTCAATTTGTAATATTTATTTTGCTAAAAGAAATTTCACATTTAATTAGTTAATGATAACAGAGGAGACTAATTTTTCAATTAGGATGTGTATGATTTCATTTTTCTTAAACTGATCATGATAATATCATGAGAGTGAAAGAACCATTAATTTTGTCTGCATTGACTCATCGTTATCCATCTACCTCTCATCAGCGCGTGATATTTTTCAAGCAAAACAAGATAATTCAAATCACTTAAGCAAAATATTTAGAAGTGAACAATTTTGTTAGTAAAGTAATATATAAAACTATTAACATCAACTTTATTTAACAACTAAAATTTTGAAGTGAGATGGTTGTTAAATGTTGACATGATATCATAATTTCTATCATTAAAAATAGACTTTTTACGTGGTATATGGTTTTTAACAAACTCATGTGCCATAACTTATAACTAATAAGAAATATAACTATATAAGGGGAGAAAAAATGGAATTGGGTTAGAGAAACATTAGGCGAGTTCCGAATAGATTTATCATAGATCATAATCATGTATAGCAAAAGGGAAAAGTGTTTCTTTTTTTTAAATGATACAACTTGTATCATTTCACTCTCATAAAGAGATGGGACTCACACTTTTATATTTTTTTGTCCACTCTCTCTTCCTTTATCTATCTCTTTCTCTCACTTAAAATGACATAAATTTATATCCTTTAAAATGATACACATTTATAGTAAAATATAACAAATTTCCCAACATTAATTGAATGGGTACATGTCCACTATTATCCAAAAGCGTTCATCTGAAAACGTGACCTATTTTATTTTATTTTATTTATTTATTTGCAATGATACAAGAAAAGAAAGCAAAAAGAAAAGAAGAGAAAATTAAGAACACGATGAGGTAAGTCACATGATGGAACATGCGGCGGGGTTATCGTCGCTGAAAGCGGTGGTGTACTTGACCTCGGTTGAGCTTGCACGTGCGAGGTTGTAGACTTGTGGGTCATCGGCGTTTCGGACGTAACCAGAGGGTGCTTTCTTGTCATAGACACCAGGAGCGTAAGGGTGTGCAACGACGTCGTAAGGCACGTAAGGCCATAGCTCAACCCTCTTACCAGTGCGGTGAGCGATGCGAGCCACCACCTTAGAAGGTTCAACGTATCCTACAACAGTCACCTTGCTGGCTTTCCGATCAACCTCTACTTGGCTCACCCCTTTCATCCCCTTCACCGATTTCTTCACCTTCTTCTCGCATCCTTCACAATCCATCTTCACTTTCACCTCCACCGTCTGATCATACAAACATAATCTAATAATCAGTTCAAGTATATATAAATTTAGAATCATGTGGTGTAAAGTTAGGTACATATCCCTCCCTACGGGTGAAATATGTCATTGAATGACTGGTTGGTCTAGGAACATCAAAGCTCTTCGTAAGTGTTATGTGATGTATGACTCAGGGAAGGAGAATATGTAAGGGTAAGGTGCTAGTATATGTATGAATGCAAATTGTTCATGACTTTCATTAATAGATGATGAGAGGTATATATATCTTAGTAAGAGAGAACCAACCTATCTGTATTGCATATTACCTCACTATTTTGAATGAGGGAATTAACTGTTTCATCAATCATATAACGGGTGAGGTGTGCAACCGAAAGAAAAATCCTTTACCTCACTTTTGCCAAATTATTAATGGGAAATAATTATCTTTATGTTACATGAAACAGAGACAAAATAGTAGAGTCCGTTACTTTTTTTTTAAGTAGTGAACGCCACAATCTTATATCTGGTATATGAGATAATTATCTCATGCAACATGAGATTAATAGATCCTTTTATTAATACATCATTTAATGTGAGTGAAACGTGCATGAGTCACGCATCATAGCTCCATGTCGAGTATCATATACATGTGCCTTCAAATCAAGCGTCTTCCTGATTTACGTCTTGTAAATCACGATACGTGGTGATAATGTCCGAAATAAACACATACATTTCATTGGCATTAAACGGATAAATAGTTTGCCAGAAAAGAAAAAATGGTATACAAACGCCAAAAAGCCTATATTATGAACGCTGGTTCAGAACAAATCCTACATGCATATTGCTACCATTATTACTATACACTATATTAGCTACCTAGTTGACATGATTAATGATATAAAGCGACTTCATTGTTTACCTGGAATTGCTTGCGCTTCTTCTTGAGCTTGGAACGGCTATAGGAGCAGTCAAAGAATTCAGAGACGTGATCCAGAGCACCCATTCTGTGTATGTGCGATTATTGATTGTTGTTACTTTACTACTTACTCGGCCACATCTATTACATCCATTATTTATAGCAAAAGACTATGACAAAAGCGAGTAAATATCCGACACAGTAAGGTTCTCCACATCTGACACGTTCGTATGGTGTAGTCGGCAACGATAATATCCGAAATAAACAACCCAGAGAAGTCAGTTGTTTTTGTCTTTGTTGAGATGTTTTCACACCACGTTTCGTGAGCCTAATTGGATAGATAGGCGATGGGGATGGGGCAGTGATGGGAAACAAGTAATTATTGTGTAGGGTGGTAGTGGAAGGTTTTAATGCTAACGGATAAGGAAGACTTTTAAATGTTACCGAAAGTACCATTTTGAAATGGAAAGCTTGATCAAATAGGTTCATACGTGTTTAATATCTAATTCTATATATATTCCTACATCTGGTGATGTATCTTATCTTATTAGTACATTTTTTCTTTTAATGGCCGGTGTTTATTTTCAAAGATCATCCTATTTGAAAAATAAATACTTATAAGGACAGAAATAGAAATGTCTGATCCATCTAATGCTTACGGCATGCGCTGTCTTTTGAATTTTCAGCGCAAGTATATTCTAAGGGTCCGTTTGCATCTGCCTTAATCTCGGCCGCAGAGACAATTTTTTTCAAAAAGTAGAACCCATAAATTAAAAAAGAAAAAAATTATTATATTAAATCTTATTAGTCAGATTTAATTTAGGGCAGATAAATATTTCTACAGTTAAGGTAGAAATACTTTTGCCATATTGTAATACTCCAAATTTTTAATAATTTTTTTTAATTTTTTTTTTATAATAATAAATTTGTAAAAAATCACATTTCATTATTATCAGGATCACATAAATATTACAGAAACTAAACTAGAATCAATTTGGAGAATGTTACACTTGTTAAACCGGAGCCAATCATCGGCAGATAAAAAAATAAAATTGTGTGGTGTTGTTCTTTATATATCCAGATTATTGGCCTTATATATATATATATATATATATATATATATATATATATATATATATATATATATATGTATATATACCTAGAACGGCATTTCTTCTTTTTTAAGTTAAAGTTTTTTTGAAAAAAAAATACAAGATGTTAATTTGATAATTTTTAGTTTAAAAATTATTTAAAAGCTGTTTATTTTAAAAAAAAAATACACATTTCAAAAAAGCTGATACAACTTAAAAAAACCTCCTCCTAAACTCTTTTTATTATAAGAGCTTTAGTAAAAACTTGTTTGACATAATTTTTACTTATAAAGATAAGAAAAAAAGTTTAAAAAAAGAAAACCAAGTCATATTTTATGCACAGTATTAACTATGAGACGGTTGAAGGGCCTATGTGCGCAACAATATTTTTAATATTTGTTCGTCGCTAACCTTATTATTTAAATGGTAACAAGATCTTACTAGGAAACTTTTCCGGTGAAGGAGGTTGAAACATCAGTAACAAGATTCGCTGAGATCATTCCAGTAACGACAAAACAGTTAAAAAATTAGGATCTGTATCCTCTCATGTGAAAATTCACATGATCATGTCATGTGGAGAATCATAACCATACAAAAGTAGATGAATGGTAATAAAAGAGGAGAGAAAAAAAATGTTAAAATAAATAATTATGAAATCATAACCGTTGATTTACCTTTGTATGGTTGTGATCTTTTCACGTGACCATATCATTTTTTTTTGAGGATCCATTTCAAAAAAAAATTATGTTGCTTAATTAACAGTGCATCATATTCGGAAGTAGCTTTTGATTAACAACGCAAAATAGTTAATCACATTCAGTGTGAACATTGAAGGTCCAAATGTCAAAAATGCTCCAGTTGATTTGAAGTTTGTCAGTTTGCAAATTTTTTTGATTATGTATAGCCTTAATTAATTTATAAATCAACAATAATATTTAATCAAGGGTGCATATTTTCTTATATTGTAGGATAGTAGGAGAGAAAAAAAGTAGAGATAAATTAAATGTGGGTCCCACATTTTAAATTAAAAAAGAAAAGAAAAATTAATTGGCACAGAAAACGAATTTATGTAGGAAAAAATTCTTATCTCATGTAGAAGGAGATAATGATTTCCCTTAATCAAATGATTTCGATTTGGATTATTGAGCCAAGGTCCACTATGTGATTTTGTCTCTTATGCAATGCGATAAGGTTAAGACAGTTGTTTATTTTTATTGAGTGCTGACATCAAATTTTTGACAACTTAAGGATGTTTTTAAACAACATCAACAATGATAATAATTAAAATGACGTCATTTAAAATTATAAGAAAAAATATAATTTTAATTAATTTTGAAGCTATATTAATTTTCATTTATTTTTTCAAAATTAAAATGATAACATCTTAAAATCAAAGATAATTTTATTTCATAGGTGAAACAATAAAATCTAGGGGAATAATTTTTTTACTTGGATATAAAAACAAAAAATCTTACCTCTCATTTTAAATGTTGATTTTCGTGAATTTGATGCAATTTATTAAATTATATCTATTAATAATTAATAATTCCTAATTAATTACAATCCTTAAATGAAAATAATAATAATTGAGATAAAAAAAAATAACACTTCTGTCTTCTTATTCTTATATTATAGTCGAAAAAATCCCTCCTCTGAAATCTAATAATATTGTGCAAACAATGGGTCAAAAGTCACCCTATTATTAAGGTTAGGAAATTCTTTAGCCTTCAGCTTTCATTTTGGGTTAATTCCACTATTCCAGGCCCATCTTGAGTTCTTTTTCTCAAGCTGATTTTCGTGATAACAGGTCAAATGAAAAGTTACATACAAGATAATATTTCAATTTTTCTTTTCTTTTTCTGAGGAGCCCATGTTTCGTTCGTTGCCTCCCCTCATTTCTCTAAGTTCATAAAGGAGCCCATTGTACAGTGGCCAATACATGACAATTACTAAACAATTGAGTTAAAATTGAATCAAATCTAATAATATTCTGAAATGACTCTTACATTCAGTTTCATCTCCACATAAATGCCGGGATAATTTTATTTTTTTTGGTAAGCTAATTTTATTTCAATTTTATGCAAAACATGTATCATCATCAAATTTTTATGGGAAAAGTGTTTATCCTTTTAAATGACACAACTTATATCCTTTCACTCTCACAAAGAAGTGGGACCCACACCATTATTTTTTTTATCAACTCTCTCTTCCTTTATCTATCTCTTTCTCTCTCTTAAAATGACACAACTTTTTTCTTTTAAAAAAAAAAAAAATGACAAAACTTTACATCCTTTAAAATGACACACAACTTACCCAATTTTTATTCACTCATTTATTTGGCAATGAGTTGGTCCATATCTCTTAAAGTGTTTCAGGCAGTGTTTTAAAATCTGGCTCGGCCGGCCGGGTCGACCCGAGACTCGGCGACCCGGTGGGTTTCTCGGTCCGAGCGGGTAGTTGAACCGCTTCTGCAGTCAACCCGAATTGGACCGGTAGACCCGGTTGAAACCCGGAGACCCGGTCGACCCGGGTTAGACTAGGTATTCCTTTTTTTTGATAATTTTTTTTTTTGTTGATAAGAACTCTTGAATTAAATCATATTCATATTTTATGATGAATGTGATTAAAAGTAAGGTGAAAATAATAAGGTATTTTAGATTAGTGCAGTTCATTTATGTAATTTAGTTGTATCTTATAATGATCTCATGAAGTTAAGTGGTGATAAACACTGATGGTCTCATGATCTCATCTCAACAATGGACATTTTTTTTTTAGTATATATCTCATGCATACTATTGTTGACGAACTCGACAAGTGCACCGGTCGTACAAGTAATAAAGTGATAAGAAAGTTGTCGATCCCACGAGGACTGATGACCAAACAATAATTTATTTATTTAACTAAAGTTGGATCGATTTTAAAGATTTTCTTGAGAATATTGTGATTAAATTAAAAGAAGAATTTGTAAACTTAATTTTAGTTTTTAACATTTTAGAAAATAAATTCAGAATTAATAAAGCTAAAAATTGGGTTTAGGTTTTTAATAAAAATGCATAGTTAGGATTCAACTTTCCCAATGGTTTCTTAACGAGTTTGTCAATACTACGATTAAATTCAAGATCAAATTACTAACAGCTCTTTCTATGATTGATTAAATCCATATCCCTTGATAATCTAATCCTTTATTCTAATCCAAAGCTTAATCCCTTAGTATTTTTTCATAAAATAAGCATTAACGCAAGAACCTATGGTTATAGAATTCATAAGTCTATCCCTAGATTATACAAATTCCAGCAATCAACCAATCGGAATTATATACCAACATTCCTATTGTCATGCACGACTCTAATGCTCATTCAAGACTGGCCAGATCATAAATAAGACTAATCATAAATATCAGATTGATTGCATAATTCAAAAACAAGAATGTAATACATAAGAAATAAGCAAACATCAACTAAGAACCCATTAGTTCTGTCTCATCCTAACTACTAATAAGTAATTTAGCTATGCATAATTATAAAGACAGAATTAAAATAAGCTGTAAAAGAAATAAAGTTCATGGTAAAACTTGTTTAACAGTGATGATCAATGATGCAGATTGGATTCCTCCCTTCTCCTCTGCATCGGTCCAGCGTTCCTCTTCCGTTCCTGCCTTCGTGTTTGTCTCTGACTTCTTTCGCGTTCTGGAATTAATTTCACGGCTTTAGTCACGTTGTATTTAAAGAAATAAAACATGGGCTTCAATTTCTGGACCCGCTTGCTGAGGATCTCGCTGAAGCGAATTGCTCAGTGAGCATTTTCTTCCTTGTCGCTTACTCACTCGCTCAAGCGAGGAGTATAGCGAACCTTCTTGCTTTGCTCGCTCACTTGCTCGCTTCAGCAAGCAGTATAGCAAGCCAGCTCGCTCACTTTCTCGCTTTAGCGAGCCTAATTTTTCTCTTCACTCACTTTCTCGCTGATGCGAGCAGTGAAGCGAGTCATTATGCTTTGCTCGCTCACTTGCTTGCTTTAACGAGCAGTGGAGCGAGCGTTAACCATTTTTATTTATTATTTATTTAATTTCTTATTTT